TGGGGGTGTGTGTCTGGGGGTGTGTGTCTGGGGTGTGTGTGTGTGTGTGTCTGGTGGGTGCGTGTGGTATGTGTGTGTGCGCGCACGCGCGTCCGTGTATGTGTGTGTCTGGGAGGACCCCCGGTCCTGGTGGGACGGTCCGGCCATAGAATGCAGGCAACTTTCGGGGGAGGACCGTGTGTGCGTGGGCTTCCAGGGGCTGGTTGAAACGCGCATTCCCGGACCCCCTCAGACACACGGAATCAGAATTTCCTGGGTGGAAGTGTCCATTTTAATGATGCTCGCCAGGGGGTTTACATGTTCACTCAAGTGAAGGAAGCCTCCACCCCGGCCTCTGATTCATGTGGAAATCTCTCAGGACACGACCGCTTCACAGCTGTACTTGTACTGAGGGCTGTGCAGACAAAGGATAGGTTACTTCTGCCCTGGACACCTTAGAAGGGCCCTCCTGGAGACAGCAGCTGGGTCGCTGGGTCAGACTCAGGGGCAGGGAGCTAGGGCAGGGGGAGTTGGGGGGCAAGCAGGGGAGGGGTGCAGGGGTCTGGGTGACAAGGCTGGCTGCTCCTTGCGTTCTGCGGCAGGGCCTCACTCAGCTCGGGGACAGGAGAATATGAAGTGAGCTCCAGAGAAAGACCTGGGGTCTGCTCTCAGAGTAGCCACTTATCCAGCTGCATGGTTTAGGCAATTCATTTATTCAAGATGGGTGTCTCCTCACCTGGGAAAAGGAAGCTGGACTACATCAGTGACGGGCCACCTGGACTGAACGCTACGTACATCTGGGAGCTGGACAAAGCAGCCGTGCTGGAGCCCGATTCTAGACCAATAAATTCAGAATCTCTGACATGGGACCTGGACACGAGGCTTTAGTTCCCAGCCTTTGATCTGAAATCTCTGATCCCCAGCAGAAGGACAGAGGAGGGGGAAGAGCTTGGTTTCTATTCACTCACTTCCCTCTCCCACTTACTTCACGGTGAGACTCTACTGGCTAAAAATGCTTGCATTACCACTGATAGTACTAAAAGTACTTTGGCAGCTCTTTGAGTTGCAAATGCACCAAGTTTTGATTCAGGGATGGGCTACAGGAAGCCCAACATTTTCAAGAGGTGCTAAATTTCAGAGGCCTGTGCAATGCTGTGCGGTATGGCTGCTGTAGAAAAGAGGGGTGCAGAGGAGACGCCGAAATCCCCACCTTGGCTGATGGCCCTGAAATACTTTATCTCCAAGGCAGAAGAAGACACAGTTTTCCATTAACAGCAAGTTTTTTTAATATAAAAGCAGAAATATTGGGTTGGCCGAAAAGTTCGTTTGGGTTTTTCCATAACATCGAACAAACTTTTTGGCCAACCCAGTACCTGGGGGCTTCAGGAAGATGAGTTTGTAACTAAAAGGAGAATTCTGTGGATAGAAAACTTTTGAGTTCAACTCTTAGCTTTAAAAAACCAGGTTATCTCAAGCTCCCAATGTCTGTACGTAATTAGAACATTACTAAGGGCGTAATACAATTGGTTGAACAAAAAATCCCATCTAATCTACTTTCCTAAGTCTTAACTCTTTGGCAGTAAATTCATTCAGCAAATCTTTGATCACCTTTAGCTAAATGATTTATTTAGGGAACCCAAATCAAAATGAAAAAAATATGATACAGTGGAAAAGGATGTGGACTTCAGAGTCTAAAATATCTGAGATTAAATCCTGGCTTTGCCTCTAACTAACTGTGTGAACTTGGACAAGTTTACCTAAGACTCCTCTGCCTTGGTTGCTTCATTTTTGAAATGAGGATAACTGTCGACTTGCTTGCTTCACAGACACGTTGAGAAGACTAAATGAGATCATTTATGTTCATGTGGTGCCTGATACATCACAGGCATTGAAAACCTAGCAGTTCTAATTAAAATACTGATATCTTCCCAATACACATGTAATGAAGTTTCATATGTTATCTCATCTGCTTCTCAACAATGCAGTGAGCAAAATATTACTCGGTCCATTTCGCAGAGGTTGCAGCTGAGGTGCCGTCATTGGAACTTGAGCCTGGTCACGCAACTCCAAGTCCCACACTCTTTCCATTGCCTTCTCTTGACCAGAGGGGGACATGCCATTTTAGTGAAGTGCCGGGTCAGTAGGTGCCATTGGTGGCTGTCTCTGTCATTTGGGGAGGTAGCAGATTATGAAACAAAGAGGTTGGAACATCTTTTAGGAAATGACTGAGGACCTCAAGTCACAGAAGAGGTGCACAGTGAATGCTCCATGTCAACTAATAACAATAAGTTCTAGACAATCCTGCATATCACCGTATCTAATCCAAGCTCACAATGCAATCTGTTTCACTGGGGGCTTCTGGCTAAGATACCAGTTCATACATACATATGTGTGTGTGTGTGTGTATATTGTGTTAGTTTCTGGTGTACAGCAAAGTGATCCGGTTATACAGATATGTATATATATATATTCTTTTTCATATATACTTTCAATGTAAAAACTTTAAAGACTCGCCTCCACAAGAAATTTTAAAAACATGTCAAATTTTATTAAGAACATCTCCAGTATTCAGAAACAGAGCAGAACAGGGACTTCCCTGGTGGCGCAGTGGTTAAGAATCCGCCTGCCGATGCAGGGGACATTGACCAGGGTTCGAGCCCTGGCCCGGGAAGATCCTACATGCCGCAGAGCAACTAAGCCTGTGCACCACAACTACTGAGCCTGCGCTCTAGAGCCCGCAAGCCACATCTACTGAAGCCCTTGCGTCTAGAGCCCATGCTTCACAACAAGAGAAGCCACCGCAATGAGAAGCCCACACATTGCAGTGAAGAGTAGCACGCCAGCCCCCTCAACGCAATTAGAGAAAGCCCGCACGCAGCAACAAAGACCCAACGCAGCCATAAATAAATAAACACATTTAAAAAAAAAAAGAGAAGAGAAGAAACAGAAAAGAACAGATGACTTTGGGCATGAGGACACAGCCTACACCCAACATTTGCTTTATTTTCTATTATTAATGTATTTATTTTCTTTATTTTTTACATGAACATTTACATTTAAACAACCAGTGAACAATACTTGTTTTTTTAGCACAGACCTCCGCAAAGTGGTCCTGTATGCTGGTGAGAACCCTTTCAGGAAGTTCTGCCCTGTTAAGGACCCCCCGATCCAGACAGCCCTAGCCCAAGGCTTGCTGGAGAAGCCTGCCGAGAAAGGGCATTTTTTCAATCTCAAAAATGATAAACAGAATGTTTAAAAATTGTAAAGGACACACGTAAATCGATTTGTTTCAAAAAAGCTAGAATTCCAGCTGAAAATGGGTAAAAGGCATACATGTATAATTTATATGCAAATGGCTTTTAAAAAAACTAGAAAACTCTTTAATCTCATTAGCAATCAAATATAGCTAAAATAGTTCCACATTAAAATAAGGTACTATTTTTCCCTATAAAATTAGCAAACGATTTCTCATTTTTAATGACTCTACCAAACACGGTTGAGAATGTGGCAGACCAGATGATGTAACTTAGTACAACTTAGTAGACCTTTAGAAAAACAATTTGACAGAAGATATCAAGAGGCTTAAAAAAGTCGATATCTTTAGACCCAGTAATTCCATGCCTGGGAATCTATCCTAAGGAAATCATCTGCTGTTCAGGGAAAAAAAAAAAAAAAAACACCTTAGAATTTAAAAATTATTAACCAAAAGGGGGAACAGTTAAGTCAATCCGAGGGCAGAAAACCCATGGCTGCTGTATTCAACGGAGCGCATGAGGAAGGAGTTTCCCAAATTCTTTTTCCAATTTCTGTTTACACACCCCAGCTTTGTCACGGAAAAAAAAAAAAAAAAAAAAAAAAAATATATATATATATATATATATATATATATATATACACACACACACACACACATATATATATGGAAAAAATAATGGAAACCATCCAAATGGTCAACAAAAGGGCGATGGTGAAAAAGCATTTTATAGTCTCATATTATTTGGACATTAAAAACATTATTCAGGTATTAAAAATAGGTTTATGAAGATTTTGAGATTAATGGGGGGAATTCTCATATTATGTTAAAAAAGAAGTTTAAAAGGATGAGCACATCTATCAAATAATTAGAAAAATGATGGGAAAGAAATACATCCAATGCTACCACGAGTCATCCCTGAGGGGTGGGATTATGAATGACTACTTTTCCCTCTTTCTGCTCTTTTGCATTTTCCAGGTTTTTTCATTCCAAAAAAAGAAAAGAATTAAGGAAAGACACTTGGACTTTGGGGCTGAGAACAAACTTTGTCCAGTGATCCTGAATTTATCCTCTTCTCCCAAATTTTCACATCTGCAGAGTCACCAAATATAGTCAAGACTAGAAAAAAGCACTTCAAAGTCGAGAGACATCAGTGCCCAGGAGAGGCCAAGGAGAGAAATAACTGGAGATCAATAGGCAAAGAACAAGGGAAACACTCACTAGCAAAAAACAAACACAAACAAAACCTCTCCTGGACCATTGCCAGGCAGTTCCATCCTCCTGGGCCCAGCAGGCAAATGCTGGGGCAGCTGACCTTGTATAATGGGGAAGATCTGGGATGGCCCTCTTTCACGCGGTGGGTGGACAGGCCTATGGGGCCTTGGAAACCCCAGAATTTAGAACTGGGGCAGTGTGGGGTGGCCATGTCCTTGGCAAGTCCTTGACCTTCGCCCATGTCCCTCATGCATATCCAGTAGGCTGAGCTCCAGACTCAGGACTGTCTTGCAGCTGGATCCTTAGAAATCTAAGTCGTCTTGGCCAAAGCCATCTGTCCTGTCCATGGGGAGGTTTTTAAGCATCACTTCTGTGGAAGCGAGACTTTTCACTACGTTCTCAGCTTCTAAGTCAGAGCCTCCCTCTGTCCCCTGCTCTGGAGTCAGACCTTCATCTGTTCCTCGCTCTGGCATCCTCGAGCCTGAGGGGTCCCCGTCTTGCTCAGAAAGGGAGCTTTCTGGACACGTGCCTGTGACTTTTGTCTCTGGATCAGGGACGCCCTTGGCCTCGTCTTCAAGGCTCCTCGTGTGTCTGTCTGAAGGCTCATCTTCGGAGCTTTGCTGAGAGAGCTGAGAGCAGTTCCCCAGAGATGATGCGCTGGAGGACGAGAGGCCTGATTTCAGGCCTGACCTGTGGCGGGAGGAGTCTGCACCTGGGGCCAGGGACGGCGTGGGCCTGCCCTCCTGGTCTGGGCTGCAGTTTCTAGAAGCCTCACGCGACTGGCGGTGTCTGAGGCCAAGCTGAGGGCGCGCTTCTCTCTTACCATCTCCTCCTCCTGACTCTGCCCGTTGCTCCCCGTCAGCTCCCTGGGCCTCTGCACTTTCGGCACCAGCGTTCTGTCCTCCTGGACTTGGGTCACCTCCTCCCGGGGCTTCACCCGCCCCAGTGTCCTCAGCCCCAGAGCCCACCTCCGGGTCTCCTTCCTCCCTGCCCACACCCTGATTCCCCCGCCCCACCCCGTCCGGGTAGCTGCCTACAAAGGGGTCTGTTTTCCTTTCTCTCTTCTCAGCAGTTGCCCCCTCCTCTGCCCCCCGGGGGGCTTCATCTCTGCTGAGGGTCTCATGCCCCACCTCCAACCCGGGGCCCTGGCCTGATCCCAGCTCAGGGCCTCCGTCAGCTCCCCGGACAGGGTCCGTCCCCGAGGGGTCCCTCTCGAGGGGCTCCATGCCCCCCTTTGCAGGGGCCGCCTCTGCTGTCTCCCCGTCCGCACATCTTCCTTCCTTCTTCTGCAGAATTTGCTGCAGGTCAAAGGCCTCTCTGACGGGTGCACTGGCCGCCCGCACTGCGTCCCGCGGGGATGCAGGGGCCGCTTTCTTCCTCATGCAGGCCTCACAGGGGCAGAACCCCTCCTCCTCAACCTGCTCCCCGAGCCGGGTCCCCAGGGCTCCTCTGAAGGTTGGCACGTCCTCCAGGGAGAAGGAGGGCGGCCCCCGGCCCTGCGTGTGCTCAGAGGAAGCTGAGAGGCCACTCAGGCCCTGGAGGTGCTGCCTGTACCGCTTGGTCTGCAGGGGCGTCTCCCAGCGGCGGGCTTCCCTGGGCGGCCCCGGCGCCGTGCCCCCCGCCCGGCTCTTCACCTTGCGGAGCTCCTTCTCGATGTGGTCCCGGAGCCGCCGGCCCACGTCCTGCTGCAGCTCGGCCACCATCTGGTCCAGCGGGTCGCTGCTCTCCAGGCCCCAGCGGGCTTGGAGCCGGGCCGTGGCGGTGGCGAGGTGGGCCATGAAGGCCTTCTCCAGCTTCTTCAGCAACGTGGACACCCAGAGGGGCTCAGGGTCCAGAGGCCCTCTGCGGGCTGTGGAAGTGCCCCTCTCCCCCGCCCCCTGGGTGAGCTTGGCCTGGGTTTGCCCACAGCCTGTCTCAGCTGCTGTGGACAACTTCTCCAAAGAAGGCTCAGCGTTGGAGCCACCTTGACTCCCGCTGGCATCTGGGTCGCTCTCCCTGAGGCTCCTAGGGCGCTCTGTCGGGCTCCCTCTCTTCCCTGGGGGGCTCAGCGTGGCCGAGGTGGGGTCTCCCTGCTCTTCCTGCAGGCTCTTGTCTTCCCTGGCACCTGCCCCATCCCGAGAGCCCGCCCCTGACGATTCTCGTCCTGTGATTCCTTCCTCTTCGGGAAACCCTTTAACACCCTCTTCTTGCAGTTCTGCTCTTTCTTTTTCCTCTTTTATTTCCTCTAATGGTCCCCCCTGTTCTTGCATCGTGTTTTTAACACCTTGGTCCAGGCCACTGCCCAACATCTGCTCCCCACTGTTTCTTTCGGCCCTGTCCTCGCTGGAGGCACCACCAGCCTCAGAACCACTCGGCTGTTGGTTTCCCGGATCCTCTGGGTTCCCTGAGATTCTGGAATCAGGCCTCTGGCAGGGGATGCTTGAGGGCAGCCCCATCCTCTCAGGGACCAGGGCGCAGTCCACGGTGCAGGGCCCGTGGCCCTCCCCCGAGCCTCCAGAACCACTGCCAACATCCACACCAGAGGAGGATGTTGGCGTGAAGTCCTCAGCTGGAGCGTGGGACCCAAGGGCCGGCAGGGCCTGGCCCCAGCCTAGCTCCTGGAGGCCCAAGTCCAGCTCTCTGTGCCCAAGGCCACTTCCCGGCCACAGGGCCTGCAAGGTGCTCAGGAGCTCCTGGTACCGAGGAGAGTCTGTGAACCTCACTTTGCCAGCAGGAGACCCAAGGTCATCATCAAAGAAGCGGAGCCTGGCGAGACAGGTGACGAGGGCCCGGGCCGAGCGGCCGAGTCTCCTGCCCACTGAGCTGGACACTTCGGGCACACTGCTGGGCCGGCCTGGCCTGGATCCCATCAGCGCCTTCATGATGTGTATGGAGGAAGAGACCCTGCTGGGAAGCACGCACTGGCCCATCGCACGGTCCACAGCCGCTCCTTTGCCTTTGCCAGCCTGTGTAGGGGCTTCTGAAACCCCACTGCGAGGCAGGCCCTCTCCTGACCTGGGGCCAGCGCTGCCAGTCACTGGGAGGGCTGCATCTGGTTCTGCTTTCTCACTGGCCGCCCCTTCTAGGGGCACTTGACTGGCCTGCACTGACCCCTCCAGGCCATCTGGGGGATATCGGTCAACAGGTTCCTCCTCGGGACCTTCCGGGCTGTGCCCAGCCTCGTCCCCCATCTCGTATTTCACGGGCTCCTCCGAGATGCTGCCCAGCCATGCACGGACCACGGCTCCTGGGGAGGCTCGGGGCAGGGTGCCCAGCACCCTGCAGCCGCCTTCCTTTTGCTCCTCCAGGTCTCTTCCACCCGAGACCTTCTCCGGGAACGCCCTCCCGAGCTTGGGACTGCGGCGGGAGCCACCCCTCCTCATGGCTCTGACTGCTCTCCCCGCGGCCCCTCCCGGAGAGCCAGGGGGCCGAGGGCACCACACGTCCAGCTTTTCCTCCCCTGCCTTGGCCCCGCCCGGCTCCCCATCAGCACTGTGGGTGCCCTCGCTGTGGCTGAGGGTACGCAAAGGATGCTTCTTGCCCGAGGGCCGTGGCTTGTGAGGCATGGGACAGTACCTGCCGCACACCAAGCAGGCCTCAGAGAAGGGGCCCCGGCCGCCCCAAGACTGGGAGTCTGGCAGCGACTGCGTCTTCCCACCGGGGGACCCGCGGGCCGGGGATGCGCCCAGCTGCGAGTAGCAGCTGGCCCCGTGCACTCCCGACCTCCCTCCCTCGGGCCACCCGACTGGCAGGACCAAGGGCCAGGAAGGCTTGGGACTGTCACCCCCTGCCTTTTCACGCAGGCCATCAGCTTGCGAGTTGAAAGAGCCAGATGTGTTTGAAGGTGTGGGAGCTGGTGAGCACGCCCTGAACTCAGGGTCCCCTTCGGTCTCAGCAGCGGGGGAATTTGGGGGGCGGAAATTGGAAGCACAGTCAGAATTGCTCACAGGGGTGATGGGAATGCTGCTGAGCCCTCGCGTGTCCCAGGAATGAAGAGAGGCGGAGAAGCAGGGCCCCGGGTCCCGGGAGGCCCGGCTCCCGCGGCTGTGTGGGCTTTCAGAAGGGCCAGGCGCTGGGCTGTCTGGACGGGCCCTGCCTCTGCTGGGAGGCCCCGGCACTGGCCTGGACACAGGCAAGCCTAGTGGGCAGTGGGTGTCCTTTGGGTGGCGGTGCTGCCTGGGGCGGCCCCTCTGGGACCCCCGGCTGAGGACAGAAACGCTGGGTAAGGACAGGGTGCCGGCTCTGCTCTGCTGCTTTCTGCTTCTGCCTGGGGCTGAGGCACAGGCAGAAGGTGGATGGTGGCCTCCTGCATCCTGCAGCCCAGAGGCTGCCCGGGGGTATCTGGCGCCCTGTCCACTCTCTGCCCGTGGGCCGTCTTTCCTTACAGACGAGGGGCTCACAGCGGGGGAGCCGGGGCCTCCCCCCTGGGTGGCCCCCCAGGAAGTCACGGCCCAGTTCTTCTTGCTGGGGCGGCCCTGCTGCAGCTCACCCCTTTCACTGGACTCCTCGTGAGACCCGCCACTTGCCGAGGAGTCAGGAAAAGCGTCTGCCGGGCCTCGGGTCCCGGGTTTCAGGCAGCCACGGTGCTCCCTGCAGCCCGGCATTGCTCCCTCGCCTGTGCCCTCACCAGCCCCCGAGGCCAGACGTGGGCCACAGCTGCCCACACCATCCTCCAGGGACCTGGAGCAGAAAGGAGAGTTGGTCTCGGAGCCTTCAGGGGCTCTGTCACTGGAGGAAGGGCTGGCACTGTCCTCGCTCCTTTTCCTGCTGGCGACCCCTCGGCTCCTGGGGGTCCTGGAGTGGGACCTCTGGGGCAGCCCGGACCTCCTCTGAGAGGCTGTCTCCTCTCCCTGGGGGGCATAAAGGGGGTTCATCCAGATCTCATATCTAGACCCCTGCTGCCACCGGCCTCGGTCAAAGGCTCCCACACCTCCTGCCTCGCAGGGCCCCAGTCCCTGTGCCCCAGGCTCCGAGGGGTCCCTAGGGGGGCCCGCCCACACACAGCCGAGGGGATCTGCCTCCTCCAGGACGGGGCCCTCCCCACTGACCGCTGTGAGACTGCTGGCCCTCCCGACCCTCCTGGACCACAGGAGCAGGTCCTCCCCCTGTAGGTGGAAGCGGACTTTCATCTCCACAGACAAGCTGCCGTCCTCGTTCACACGCACATTCTTCTCAATGTCTTCACCGGCTACCAACGGGCTGAGCTGGGCAGGTGTGCCCTGAGGGTTCCTGTCAGGAGCAGGGCACATGCAGGCACGATGCAGAGGCACCGAGGGGTCACCGAGCCCAGACCTCTCTGACAGCAAGGAGAACTGCCGTGGCCTGCTGACTGGCCTGGACCGCGCATGGATCACGCTCTGCTTGGCTTTGGGCCCCCAGCTCCCTGGTGCACGATGACAAGCAAGAGAAAAGAAGGAAAGATAGTGAGCTGCCGGCGAGAGCTTCGGGATAGAAGAGTCAAGGCCAGTCATGAGCCTTCCACGGTCTGTATACCCCTGCCACCTCCAAAACCAGCAGGAAGGACAGAAACCATTCTAGAACGAATATTCACGGAGCTGCCAGGGTGTGAACCAGCAGAGCCCAGAGAGATGAACCTGAGGTCCGAATTCAATCTCGACCCTGTTACTTCCTAGCTGTGTAGTCTTTGGCAGAGCCTGTTTCCTGAGCTGTGAAATAAGAGTAATGGTATCTAACGGGTAGGTTTGTTTTGAGGATGCCAGGCAGTGCATGTAAAGCTTCCTGCAAAGTTGCTGGCACAAAGTAGGTTCTCGTTAGACAGTAGAGTTGACTGCAGAGCATCGGTGCCCAGAGCTAAATCCCAGCTCTGCTCACACCCACCCACGGCCCAGGAAGCAAAAATCAATAAGCTGCTGCAGACACACCTGATTGTAACTGTAAAATGCTTTGCAATTATTAGTGATGATTTATCATCTTAACACTCATCAAGCTTTGGGGTTGATAAATGGTTGCAAGGAAGGACCTGGACACATATGATAGCACGTCCTGGTAGCTAAGCCTGCCCCTCAGCCATGAAAAAGAGAAGAGGGGGTCACTGGGGATAGAAAGACGTGATCCTGGGAGATAATGTAGCCCTTGGTACTTTCTCATCTCCTGAGCTAATGCTTGGCAAGAGGGAGGGCTGGCAGAGGCTGAGCCTATGGCCAGCAGAAGAGCAGACCTCCTGAGTCCATCTGGGCAGGAGAAGGTTTTGCTCAGTCCTGTTCCTCCATAAGCACCAGATGAGACTGGGGGCTCCTCCAGAGGAGGGGCTGTGGCTGATGGGCCTTTGTACATCCAACACCCAGCATGATGCAATCACCGAAACCATTGCTGTCTTTCTCTTCATAGCTTTTCACAAAGGATATTATTTTTTTTACTTGCCAAAATTTGCCCATTGTCATTCCAATAATTTTGCTTTTTGGGTTTCTGTTGTGGTGGTTGTTGTTTTTTAATAATGAAGGCTACCTCTGGCACCTGGATGGATGGATGGTTGGCTGTATAGATTGATGGATGGATAGATGATCAATGGTTATCATTTGTTTTGGTCTGTTGGGTCCTCACTGTTGCCTAAGAGAGTCATGACTCTTGAAAGATGCAAAGGCCACATATCCATGGTCCACTGCCTCCATAATGTCATGCCCACTATGGTTCTTAACAAAGTTTATTTTAGATCCTAGAAGCTTACCGTTCAAGATCTCTTAATCCCTGTTTAAATACCAGACTCCCATCTCTCTTAACCCAGCCAAATGTTCAACCTAGTTAAGGCTGATGGTGATGAGAAGGAGAAAGAGGCAAGAGAGACCCCCAAACAAGTGGGGTGCCCAAGACCCGGAGCCAAAGGCAGGTTTTTAAAATTATCTAGAAAGGATATCTGCCCAGCCCTACCAAACCACCATCCAGTGCAAATAAGGCTGGGGATCCTGTGGAACAAACTCACCACTTTTCCTCCTTGAAGTCTGCCCAGATAAAGGTTCACTTCCATTTCTTCTGACATCTTCCACTGCCAGAGGTCTGAAGGGCTCGTGACCGGCACATACCAGCACCGAGGGGCTGTGTAGCAGACCCTTCAGAGAGTCCACCTGGGGAAGCAGAGTGTTGAGTCAGGAGGTGTGGTCTGCAGGACCCGCTTCTGTCCAGCAAGACATGGGTAGAGGGAGAATCCACTGTCGCTCGTCCCTGTCCTGATATTTGCACATCTCACCCCAGATTTCTGATCCAAGGGAAGGATCCCATTCACTCCTCATTACACCTCCATGACTGGCGGGGGGCTGAGGTCCTCCCACCATGATCTTTTTCTCTACCTACAGCCCTCCCTCCACCTGGTACGAGGCCTGTGGTTTAGAGGTTATTCTGGATACTCAGGTGGAAAAGACTTCAAGAAGACTTTGACTTGCTTCCCCGCCCACACCTCCTCCCTCCGGAATGTGTATTTTTAAGAGCAACCATAACAGAAGGTCCAGGGCTCCCATATGGAAACCTGATTCACCATCTCACACTTTTTCCAGGCAGAGTCCTCTCTTGGGTCTGATCTGTGCTTTCCAGTCTAATGTGAGCCCAGGGCCTCTGCTTCTGCCCCTAGTGGAGCAGAGAAAGACAAGGCACAGATGGCCTTTCTCTCCCTCCTCCAGTGGTTCTCTAGGCTCCTGCCCAGACGCGTGGGTCATCCTCCCACCACCTACCCCTACCCGCCACCATCATGACATCCCGGGCTGGGTGGTGCAGGCATCAGTGCTGGATTGCATTCCAGGAAGCAGGTCCCTGCTTTTAGAAAAATCTCACCTGGCCCCAAGGATCCTGCCTATCTGATGATTTGCACAATTTATAGCATTACATTATAATTAGCGATGTTGGGGGATTTCGTTCCATCTTTAAAGTACAGAATCTGTTCTTTTTCGTCTTCTCCAATTAGAAGGGTATGCTTATTAACAAGGAAATGAAAGAAAGGGCTCTTAAGATAGAGGGTATAAAGGTGGGATCGTGACTGAGCTGGAAGAGAATGGTACAGCCCAGATGCAACTTTGGGGAGCAGGAGAATATGTCTCGATGGTAGGAGGGATGGTTCCATTGTTAGGTGGGGACACGCTGCTGTAGCTGCTGTTATAAATTTAAGTAGCACGGCGTATACAGGTGTCAGTAGCTATAGGACTAGACTGTGAGAGTTTATGTGGATTAGATCAATCAACCTCCATCCTCCAGCCTGCCCATCTTGGGTTACATTCATGTTCAGCAAAACCCAGGAGGGCAAAAGTTACATTCACTAGCCTTCTTGCCAGTTAGGCCGGATGCCGATCGGGTTCCATCAGGTAGGTCAAGCCTGGGAAGGCAAGCGAGGTAGACACTGTCTCTTCTTGCTTCTGGCTGTTGTGTGGCTACAAAGCAAGTCTGTGGGCATCGGGAGGCGATGGTGCTCAGGCAGCAGTGGCTGGTGTCCCTGGGCATTAAGGTGCAGCTGGGGCAGGTTGCCGACCCAGCTTTATACGCTTCGGTTCCACTACAGAGGGGTCCTTCTCAGCCCAATCACAGTGGCTTGGAGCGGAGTTAGCAGCTTTCTGCAGGGTGCTGGGAGCCAATCCTGCACACCCAACTTGGAGTTCACCCCCGCAGCTTTCCAAAGATTTGAAAGTCCCCCCAATGCCCTGCGTGAAATTGCTTTCTGCTTAAAGCGCTTTGAGTCTTTTCTGTTTCCTACACTGAACTCTCACCAAAATAGGTTAAGAGGATTGGATAAGAAAATGAAGTGTGCAAGGAGCAGGTACTAAGCGCTTTTGCTGAAAATGTGAAGTGCAATTGCTTGTTTGATTAACTGACTGAAGGTCTCCACTCTATTCACCTTTAATTAGTAGCAGGACCATCAGTGCCTCTTGTAAAGGAATAACTTCCCAGTTCCACCTAAGTGTTTTGAGCTGAGGTCCAGGGAACCTTTTAAGGAAATGTCATACCCGACAACCTACCTTTTTCCCACCGGTTGTGTACACCTGCTTCACGGGAAAGTGCAGCAGATCCGAGGCTTTGCTGAGAAAGGCCGTCAGGTTCCTGGTGTTTCTGTGACTGAGCACCACTGTCTGCTGGTATCGAGGGTCGCCGTTCTTAACCAGCGTTATCCTCCTCGGGGCTCTGAGACTTTTGCAGGAAGAAGCCGTTCCAGGTGCCTCGCAGCAGCCTTCAAAATCCCGTGACTGCTGAGAAGGGCTTCTCCCCCGTGGCCGGCCCGGCCCGCTGGGGGTCTTGGGGGGCTTCTTATCGGAGCAGAGGTAGCAGCCGCCGTCTTGCAGCTGCTCCAGGGTGCTGAGGCCGTGCAGGCCCCGGGGTGTGGTGACGGAGCGCACCCCAAAGGACAGCGGCACGCGCTGAGAGAGCTCATCCATCAGGGCCCCGAAACTCCTGAAGGCGCGTCGGTGAACGGCCAGGCGAACCCCAGCAAACTGGGGATCCCCTCGCTTGAGGAAAGTTATCTTCTTGGCTGGCATGACCTGGGTGACAGAGGGGGTCCGGGCCACAGAAGGCAGGAGGCACTCGCGGTGTCCGGGGCCCTGGGCATCCCTCGGGGTGCTGTTCATGGTGTGGAGGACCAGGCAGCTGAAATGGATCGAAGGAAGGGGAAAGTCAGAGAGCGGGTCTGTGCATTTCCTCCCCCTCGTTACAGAGGCGCTCCCTGCCCACCCCAAATCTGCTCCACTCAAACTTACAGAGGCAGGTTAATCCATTTTGATGAGTAGAAGGAAGGCCAAAGGTTTGGCATGGGAAGATCTGAATTCAAGTCCCATCCCTCACCCCCCACTTATTGGCTGTGTGATCCAGGAGGTTGATGACATAGTCTGTGTTTTGGTAACATGCAGCCATATTGATCTGCGTAGTGGTTACAAGGATTCAATGAATTTACGTGTACAGAGCAAGCATCAGTACACCTTTATTCCTTTCCTTTCTCGTGCTGTTTCTCTTACCCTCGTCTACCACCTTGAACTCCTTTGAATAGTGTAGAGTTTACCTCCTAAGGAGGTGGGTGAATAAGGGGACATCAGAATACCGAACAAGTGGTCAGGAGACCCAGGCGCCCTGCCCTCCCTCTCAGAGCAAAGTGTCACGTGTGAACATGGGGGAGTCCAGGCTCTCTGCACTCACATCCTCCAGCAACCAGGTGGGAGGGCCGGAGCAGAGTCCCTCGTCCCGAACCCTGAGGGTGGAGTGCAGACAAGGAGACTCGTAACTCAGAGGATGCCACCACTTGATGCCGTGCTTTTTTCTCTATCATACAGGGAGGTTTGCTTTTATAGAACAAGGATGCTCCCCCTGCATCCCTCCAAAGTCTTTGGAAGATGAATCCTGCGGGTGAGTACCACAGCCTGCTGCCACCAACGTGGGAGATAGGGCTGCAGGCCAGCTGTGAGCGGTCAAGGCCATTCGTCCAACTGTTCGCATTTGTTCCCACCATGGTGGAGATCAAGGCCATTCATCCAACTGTTTGCTTCTATTCCCGCCATGGTGGAGCCCCATTGCCTCATCCGGGACACTTGCAAAAGCCAGCTGCAGGCTCTTCCTGCCCAGGTCACCACCGGCGTTCTGTCCTGTGCACCGGCCAGCCAAGTTGTCCTGGAACCCTCCTCTCTCGGGACATTTCCAGAGCTCCAAGCCCCTCGGGTGGTTTGCAGTGTCCTCAGAAAAAGCCCAGGCCTTTACTGCACCATTCAAGGCCCTCTCCGCACTGAGTCCCAGCTCCTGCCTTTTCCTGCAGGAATCCTCCACTCTGACCCAGCTGCCTGACTAGGAGGCTCTGCCTGCAGGGCGGCCCGCATTCTCTGCGCCCTGCCTTGGCTGTCCTCCTTTGTGGAGGCTTCTCCAGCCCCCCAGTCTGGGGCAAGCCCCATTTCCAGCACGGCTCCCCAATGTTTCTCACACCCTATACCCTTCCTGGCCAACTACCCCAAGGCATGGGGCACAGAACCTGTACCCCCCGGGGCACCCAGCCCCCTGCATGACACAGAGCAGGGGCCCAAGAAGTGCCACTGACTGATGACACCCGTGTTTCACAGAGCCCCCCAGCAGAGCCCAGGCCTGCCAAGCAGCTGCCACGCACGCAGTCAGGATCAGATGAGGGGTCTCCCCTGACTACACGGGGTTCAGACTTAGCAGGACCCTCATTGCTGCGCCCACTGCAGGCGACCACGGTCTCCCCGGCCGCAGGCCAGCCAGCGCCCACATCTCCTTTTTTACCTTTACTCACCATTTATCCCCATTCGTCTTCGGGGAAAGAACTCTGCTCTCATTTTTAAAATCTTGGTGCACAAGAGGGCTTCTAATCTTCTCTCATCTCTGCACAAACTTTATAATTAGCCTCCTCAGCCTCCTGCCTCCCAGCTAATCCCCCTAAAGCCGCCCCAGCACCGGTGCACATCCCCGCAGCTGCGCACGCTTGCTCCGGCGTGCCTTCCCGAGGGCTCCCTTTCTTCCCACTTGATTCGCAGTTTCTCTTTTGACCATGGGCATCCTTCTTGGCCCTAACTGAGGGACTGAGAGGGAAAGGAAGGTCACAGTGTCCCCTGGAGTCACCACCGTATCCCCCAGCATCACGATGTCCCCAGTGTCACCATGTCCCCCAACGTCACCGTGTTCTTTGTTGTCACTATGTCCTTATAGTTCCACAAGCATAATGGTGCCCCCAGCATCACCATGTCCCCAATGTGACCATGTCCCCCCGTGTCACCATGTTCCTAGCATCACTCTGCTTCCCAGTGTCATGGTGTCTCTCAATATCACCATGTCCTTTATTGTCACTATGTCCCCCATCATCACCATATCCCCCAATGTCACCATGTCTTCCAGTGTCACCATATTTCCCATAATCACCATGTCCCCAACATTACCATACCCCCCTAGCATCACTGCATCCCTCAATGTTACTGCGTCCTTCAGTGTCGCCATGTCCCCCAGTGTCATTATGTCTCCCAGCATCGCTGTGTCCCCCAGCATCTCCGCTGTCTCCGAGGACTGCTCTTCCTCACAGCCCACTTCTGAACAGACAGGGCCTCCCCAGGGCCCTCCCGGCAGCAGCTCTGCAGGGAGGGGAGAGACAGTGAAGGCAAAGCCCGTCTGGGCTCCCCCAGGACCCTGGCCAAAGCGTCTCGTGGCAGTGATGCATTCAGAACCCTCAAGTGCTGACGGCCCCTTTCCTCTGACATTCCTCTAGCAAATAACTTCTTTATGAACTGGAATTCTCAATCTCCAAGTGGAGTTTTGAAATAAAAAGACAAATGTGACCCAAGGCATCTTAAGTACAAAAGATCAGGCTGATAGCAGCCGGGCTCCACCCCGAAGGCTCCTTCCCAGTGTGAGACCAAGCACATGACCCCAGAGAAGTGAGGGAAGCCACGGACCACCCCCTGCTGCTAATGTACCTGCGCTCAGGTGACAGACAAGATTCCACACATCGCTTCAGGTGGCTTGCTGACGCGCACACATACACACACTTATGTAGAGACACAGACACACACATACACATGTACACACAGACACGCATGCACACACTCGCTTACTTGCATATACACAGATATACACACACATGCGCACACACAGACAAATTAGAAAACACTTAGGACCCAGGCGAAGAGCTGAAGGGGCAGGGTAGCCTGCTGTGTAGACCGTGCAAGGGGAGGGCACACAGGACTCCACGCGTCGCACGGCTTCTCGCAGGAAGGTGAGGACACCACCTGACCTCCAGCCTCATCAGCAGAAACAAACAGGCTCTGCTTCATCTACCACCTCCTCCTGCAGCCACAGGGAAGGGAGAAGAAAATCGATTTTCTTTTTTCAAAGAGGCTTAACGAAATTTTGATTCTTTCACCTTCAGAATGACCTGGCTCCCAGACCAGGGTAGTCATTCATTTAATCACTCCTTCATTTACGCATTCACGTACCCAACAAAGATTTCTGAGCTTCTATTGTGTGCCAGGCTCTATGCTGGGTCCTGGAAATACAAAGATGACTGAGCCATAGCACCCATCTTCAAAAACGTCATATTCTAGTGTGGCAAGTAGGTACATTATTAAAATGCAGCATGAAACATGTTCTGAGATAGAGATAGAGATATATTATATATACACAGGGTTTGACTGAAAGCAGGTTCAGGGGAATGCAAGTCAGGGAAGACTTCCTGAAGGAGGTGACGTGCTGCCTCCTGAGCAGAGACCTAAAGGACAACTTGGAGATTAGCCAGAGAAGGAGGGAGTTAGGACCGGCGTGGCAAATAGATACTGCCGTGGTGCTAACTCTGACCCCTGGGGTGGGCTGGAAGGATGGGCGGAGGAGGTGCTGAGGCTTTCTTTGTGCCGCGTCATATGGCAGAGCTGCCATAGCGTCAGGACAGAGAAGGGCCACACAGTGCCTGACCTTCCCATCTTTGCTCTGCTCCTGGCATTCGAGGTGAGGGCATATGTGCAAAAGTGTGGTGGAAAAAGAAAGCTTGGGTATTCTGGAAGGGCTTTCGATTGACGCACACGGTGCATCTGACAGGCTCTATTAAGGGGGCTGGTGAATGCCCCTCAAGGATGGAACAGCGCAGACAATAAGATCAGCTTTGACCCCAGGAACTGCAATGGCAGAGCCCAGAACCCTTCCACACTGAAGTCTGAGATGCTGGCAAAAGCAAACTCAGGGGGTTCCTACCTTAGATCCAAGAACAGGTAAGTAAGGAAGAGGGGGATGGTAACTGAGTCTGGCAAAAACAGAGGAGAAGTAAGAAGCAGGCATCACAGCAGGCTAAGTTTACCTGGACTGCCCCAAGTGTAGCACGGAAGGGCCCAGTGCTGGGACCTCACCCTCCCCTCCACCTCCCATCCCCTGGCAAGTCCCCAGGATCAGGTGGGCCTCTTCCTGGCACTAGCCCTCCTGGCACCGAGGCCGGGATAAGCTGGTTGCCTCGTGGAGCTGGATAAAAGCGTCACCACCAAGAATGGGAAACCAAGTTCGAAGGACCTGACCGCACCCCTGGACATACTAAGGCCTGAAACCAGCACCGAGACTGGAAAACAGGACTCTTCGGATACAGGAGCCCACAATTCTCAACTTAGCTTAATGGATTTGAGTTGGAGTTTCTGTCACCTGAAACAGAAAGGGACACGGATCTCCCAAGGCACAGCGCCAGTGAGTGCCCTGTCTTTCCCAGATTCAGTTAGGGAGGCCCCTGGGGGTGGGAGGGTGGAGTTCTGAGGCCCCTCCCAGATCCTCTCACCTCGTCCCTGGGGATGAGGTCAACTATCCCTTTCTTGCAAGCCCTGATGGGGGAGGGGGGAGTATAACATAGACCCTCAGAGGTGGGACAGAGGGTTACTGCTCAGCTGATATGCAAAGTTACGCACATTGGGTTTTTCCCCTCGTTGCATCCCTCCTTTCAAAATCATGAGGTTTCTCTCCCTAAGCAGCAGTGGGAGGACTTGACCACTTTTTTTTTTTTTTTTTTCTTTTGCGGTACGCGGGCCTCTCACTGTTGCGGGGCCTCTCCCGTTGCGGAGCACAGGCTCCCGACGCGCAGGCTCAGCGGCCACGGCTCACGGGCCCAGCCGCTCGG